TTCTACGCCGCTGGAATGGGCGTCGCTAGAGTGTTTGTCTTCAGGAGACATGATTTATTTTAACGCCCCTTCCTCCCTTAACTCTGAAACTAAGTATTTTCCATTTATACCATCAAAGCCTATTTTGGTGCCCACACTATTCTGCGCTCCCGGACGTATGCCCCATCTGCCACCCCTTAGCTAGGCCTCTGGCCACTGCCAACTGGCACTGCCGCTCCCCCCCCCCCCCCAAAATCTGAAATGCCCCCGGGGGGGGGGGGGGTGGAAATGTCTGAAAGAAACACTGGTTGAAATAAGAACGGCTGCATGCTGTTATCCTTTCTTTGACGTCCGACAATATTTCATTGTGCTCATTTATAGTCACCCCTAGTAGCAACTCTGAAAGGTGTGGTTGTTTATATTGATGTCATCAGTTTGCGTTTTTCCTGACATTAAAATATATTTTGTCTGCGCTTCTTTTATCTCACGCTCAGCTTTGACCGTGACATCTTCAAGTTCCTTGAAACCGAAAGCTTTAATTTTACCATTAATGTTTCTACCTAGCAGTCGTAGCGCTATGCCGTCTTCCTATGCCAGGTACTGCAGTGGCTGGCTTCATCAAGTTCCTGGTGGTTGTTCTGTATTACCTCTCTGGTGGTCACGTGCCGTGCCTGAGGCCCTGATTAGCTGGGCACTTTCCTCAAGTACTCCTTATGTACTTTGATTCTACTTTTGGAGTTTTCCATCGTCATATGTATGAGCGGGGTAAGCTTGTTAGGGACTCTAAATTCCAGTAGAGCATCTTACAGGTATTTCCTGTCTACGATATCATAAGCTGTTAAGTAGTCCCCATGTAGTTGATGTATGTGGATGTTGTATTCGAAGCATTTCTCCAGGAGACATCTGATAGTAAAAAATATTACATTCTGAAATTCCCCTTCACACATTGTCTGAAAGAAAAAATGATTTATATAATCTGTAATCACTGCATTTTGAATTTATTATTTGTAAGTTAATGGGACACCTGTCCCCCCTCCCCCCCCCGCCCCCGCTTTTGCTCAAGATTCTTCTGATTCCTCAATTTCTGATACCCCTTTTATTGACGCCGATCAATTTGACTTAATGGGGTTGAATCTAATCTTGTGTTAAATGATTAACTTGGGCGCATCACAACCAAAATGCATTTAGTTTATGTATGGTACTAATAAAGATCAATACTCGGAGGTCGAGATTCTATCTCTTATGACCTTTGGCCGTGAAACAAATAGCCCAGTAGTCCCTGGGGACTCCGGCCATACAACTCGGCCTTGAGTAGCGGAGTTTAGGGCAGGTTTCTTCCACTCATGAGAGGACAGTTTTGCGTCACAGCCCCCCTTGCCCATTGAGTCTTACGGTCGGGACGTAGGGTTGGAACAGGTTTGCTTCCTCTCCGGAGATGGCATTGCGTTGCAACCCCTACTGCCCAGGGAGCTGTACATTTCCTTGGTGCGGGACGGCTTTGCTTCCACTCCGGGAGTAGTCACGAGCTTAACTTTCTCCCACCGTTCCTGAGAGTTGTGCGAACATTTGGTTCCCAACGAATTGTTGCCCTCCAGGGAGGCGTTGCGTTGCCTCAAACCCGCGTTTCTCCTGGAGCGGTTCGGACTGGACTGTGAGGGGTCAAAACGGCTTTAACTTCCTCTCCGGGGGAGGCGTTGCGTTACCTCAACCCAACGTTCGGGGAGTGGTTCGGACTGGACGTGGCGGGGACGAAACGGTCGCCTAGGGGCGGCTTTCTCAGGGCCGCGTCTTTTTAATCATTGGCAAGGGTTTGGGCGGCCACCTATTGCCTCATACCCATCAACGGCAACACGTAATCATGTTAGCTCTTAAACTTCCGTTGCGTTGGAAATCATGCGTTTATCCTGGGATCTTTTAGCTTCAGAAGGAGAAACTCCCCCCTACTAGTCAGGCACGCCACGGAGAGGTAAGATCCCGTGTAACACCACCGAGAGCTTGTGGTGCTGGGTAAGAATTTTCCAAAGGTCCACCCTTAACCCGCCTGATGTATGGTACTCGGCGCCCTTATACCTCCCTCCGATGCTTAAAAAATTATTTCCACTGATCAAAATGTATAATCAAAACATTTAAATCACGTATACTCCAAAATTCACATCTTTTTTAAAAATAATCATAAATGTTCTTATTATGGGAAAGCCATCAGGATGCCCGATTTCCGCCATCCATCCATCCATCATCCATCACGTTCCTTAGTCATTGGACCGTTGGGGCGCCACAGATGACATGTGAACTATCCTCCTCCATTCGTCTCTGTCTTCTGCACAACGCACATCATCTCCCAGTGTTAGTCCTGTCAACTCTTTGATGTTATCCTCCCATCTTTTACTTTGTCTTCCTCTTCTTCTCCCTCCTTTTGTGGTGCCCTGCAATATTTCTTTGGCAAGTCCTTGTTTCCGTGTTACGTGGTCGTACCATTGTAGTTTGCGTTTTTTCACAGTCACCAGTAGGTCATCGTACTCCCCAATTGCCTGGGGAGTCCTTTCTTTCACTTTATCATTGGAGATATGGTCCCTATAGCAGTTGCCCAAAATGCTGCTGAAGCATCTCATCTCCATCGCCTTTATTTTCCTTTCAAGATCTGATGTTAATGTCCAGGATTCGCAGGCATACAGGAAAATGGAGAGGACTAATGAACGCATCAGCCTGATTTTGGTGCTGGGGCTATATTTTTGTCACTCCATATTTTCGTGAGCCTCATTAGTGCTGTTGTAGTCTGCGCAATCCTGGACATCAGTTCGGGCTTGGAGCCTTCTTCTGAGATTATTGCGCCTAGGTATTTGAAGCTGCTTACAGTCTCTAGCCTTTCCTCCCCGATGCCTACAATCTCTAGTCTTTCTTTTCCTGGTGAGGCCTGCGGTATTATTTGTCATCAGTTTTGTCTTTTCGGCACTGACAAGCATGCCGTAGGACGACGAGGTCTTATCGGGACTCTTTACCAGGTTGGCTAGCTCTTCTTCGTTCCCAGCCAATCCGTCTATGTCGTCCGGAAAGCGTAGGTTGGTGATTGTTCTGCCACCAATGCTGACTGTCCCTTCATGCGCTTCCAGAGCATCTGACATAATTCTCTCTAGGAAGATGTTGAACAGGGTGGGGGGAGAGTAGGCAGCCTTGTCTTACTCCAACCGTGGTCTTGAACCATTCTCCGCCATACTTCCCGATAAAAATTGCAATATTGCTTGCCCTGAAAACCAGTTTTAGTGCCGATACATACACCAGGGGCGTGCCTAGTGTTGGCGCCACTCTAGGTGGGTCAACTTTTTGCCACGCTACCCTTCACGATAGAAACTTGTCCAAAAATCCTGCCCCTCAACATAAAGATAAAAAGACACCTGGGCAGACCAACTATTCGCCCCCCCCCCACCTAACTTTTTTCTACATCAATGGATAGAGCGTTGGGTGCCGGGGGGGGGGCAGGATTAATTATTCTTCCCCACCCCTTGGCTAAACTCTGAAACCCATTATTTTTATCCATTAATACTATAGCTTATTTGGTTTCCCCACTAGTCTGGAGCCCGGGGATATATGCCCCTATGCCCTCCTTAGATACGCCTCTATCTATTGGCACTGTCCCCTCCCAAAAAAAATTAAAAAAATAAATGCCCCCAGGGTGAAATTGACTGAAAGAAACACTGCCCTGCACTCAATGTGAAAATCAATAGAGAACCATTGTGATGTAGGGCACTTTGCCCCGTGCGTGAACTTTGCTTGACCCCAAATTAGATTCCTAGCAGACGTTACGTTCATCGATGGGCGTGGCTTAGTTCCTTGATCTGTATTGTTTATTGCCGACTTCCAATTAAACATGGTTAGTTTGTCTCCTAGTGTCTTGTGGAACTTTCTCGATTTGACGAGAAACGTAAACAATGTCAAATGCGTTTCTGGACGCGTCGATAGACCCAATATATAAATAAGGGGTTTCGGAGATTGGGGAAGATTCAGATAGATATTTTTAACTTTTACGAGACAAGTGTTATTATTCTTTGTGTACTCATATGTATTTATTCGCATTCGTCATTGTACATTATTAATTGGCACATTGTACAAACTGTGTACCGGTACAAGACTTCTCATACTCTGTAAGTTTATGATTTGTAATTATATTTCTTTTATTTTGTAATTATACTAATACTTAAATAAATCTTATTAATTGTAATTAGCAACTGTTTTGGGTGTCGCATTTTTGCTATCGTATTTTCTCTATAGTATCGTCCGTTGTTGTGCATTGTTTGAACGAGCCATAACTTAAAACAAGAGATTAAATTCTCACAATAGAAGGCCGTGAGTAACAACCATTCATGGGCGACCGCAGGGGGGTGGGCAAGGGGGCCACTTGCCTCCCCTCCTCCGGGATTGATTGGATAAAAAAAAAAAGACAAAAATAGACAAAAAATTTATTAAGTAAAGAGAAAATAAAGAGAAAGTAACTAAGCTGATGTCCTGTCCGTTCGTTCATCATACACATACGCTACAGTAAATTAAAACTACATTAAAACATTACTAAAAAAAAATTTGCCCCCCCCCCCTAGAAAGTTAATCGATTAAAAAAAAATCTTCCCCCCCCCCCCAAAAACGTTATATATTTTTTCCCCCCCCCCCCCCCCCCCCCCCCGGAAAAAAACACCATGTGATGACGTTCCTGATTTCACGCAGTTCATAATCCACCGGAGCTTAATTTTAATAGAAATATATATTTTTTTAAATTTGTAAAATCTGTTTTTCAACCATTAAATCATTAAAAAATGAATGAGTAAATTGGATTTGTTAACATTAAAAAAGAATAATATATATATTTGAAAATACTTAATAATGATTGTTATCAATGTAAAATTTTGCAAAAATAAATTAGTGTCAACAGCAAAAAAATACATACAAATCATAAAATAATGAAAGATGTTTGAATTCATTACAATGTACGATTTACTAATTTAAATTTTTGTCCGTGCCTTTTCGAAAATTATTATATGTTTTTATTTAGCCAAGGGAGCTAATTCACGGGAACTAATCAACTCACGAATCCATGAAAGTATTGAAAGCACACACACCAACAAAACCGTATGCCTACTTGCTAAATATATGTTCTTGTTGACAAAAACTATTTAAACCTGTTGGATGGTAGTTGAAACTCACCAAGATGTCGATTCAGTTAAAAGCACAGAAGAAGCAAATGCTTGTTCTGGCTGGAACATCACATCCAGAACTTGCACAAATGGTGGCAAGGTAGCCTATCTCACATTCACATGTTTTTATTTTTATTAAAAAATACAACTAGTTGAAAATTACTTATCTCTTCACTAATGAATTATTTATTTCATGTGGATTAATTTCTATTAAAATTGTATTACACCTAAAAAAAACATTCTGTTTAAGGTAATCTACCACTTCAGCATCGGCTATTCCAAAAATCATGTTTTTCTCATCTGATGAAGTGCTGCTATTTTGTTATTAATGTCTTCACTGTTAATAGTTCTACTTCCAATTAAAGAACTACGCATCAACTTAAACTCTGTTTACTTACATTACATAAATTAAATATATTCTTTTCCTAAATTAAATTGTTCAAAGTTTGTTTTTTTTAAGACAAAGTGGGTATTCGGACCCTGGTATCAGCAGTGAGAGGTTGGGATTAAAAAAATATTAAACATATTATTGTTGGGTTTGTAAGACAACATTTGGTATCAAATGAAAGATAATTGAATGGACTATATGTTTGTAAACTTACTTCTTCAGTTTAACTAAAATAAATGACCGGGTACCACAAATGACATCCTGAATAGCATTTTCATTTAGTCTATAGGGACCCAGGTCTGAATAGACGCTATGTGTACCCAGGTCCCTTTTCAGAAACTTGTTGGTTTATTGACTTAATTTAATAACAAACTATTCTTCAGCTCTGAATACTCTGAGTACTGAGAAACTGGGCTATTGTCATCACTCTTTTCATTCATTTTTGTATCTTCTGCAGCAAACTTGGTGTCCGTCTGGGAGAGATTTCAGTTTTTCATAAACAAAATCGAGGTAAAACTGTCAAATTTCATTTTAAATTTATTACTAAAAATAGAAATATTCAAAGGACAAAGCTTTCTCAGTTGTATAATGGGGAATGGGATGATTTGGTGGGACCTATTCGCTGAGAAGTCCATTTTAAAAATGTTGTCATGAAAAATGGCTTTTGTTGTATCGACTCTATATTGTACTTTTACGTAATGTTTATCAGAAATCTTAATGGCTGTTGAGATCAAAGAGTTTGAGTTTATAGATCTATTTTAAAATGAAGTGTAACCAAAAATTTTTACTAGCATTGAGATTTTGTTGGGTTCTTATTTTTATACTTAACATGTTTTTTAAATGATTTTTTTTAAACATGTAGTTTCAATTTTATTGTATGTTGTAGGTACAACATTTGATAACATGAACATTTTAATTAAGCTTCGTCTAGTTGGGGAGAAGTGAGATAACCATAGGATTTTTATGATGGAGACAAGGAGCCATGATAGACAGAGGGTGACGTAAAATACATTAGTGTGAGCTGTTGTTAAAGGAATGTGACTAGAAGCCATTTACATATCAGTGGAGAACTGATTGTATGGGTGTTACGCTTTTTTGGGACAACATTGTCTATTTGTTAGCTGGAGGTAGTCTGGAGAGTCGCACAGTTAATTAGCTTAAGGAATGTATGTTAGTGCACCCTAGTGTTAAGGTAGTTCAGAGCTAAGCTAATGTATTTCTTAAATAGTCAGTGTAAGTGTAAGCATGTAGAAAAAGTTTTGTGTGATACGAGGCTCGCAAATTTTTTAACTCTAAGCCCACAAACACCAAATGATTGTTTGTCTTGGTTATTTCAATGTTAGAAATTAGAAAATGTCTGTCCAGACACAAATCAGTGAGCTAAGGAGATACACCTGCAAGGCCAAATGTGGGGTGTTCTAATTTAATTAAATGTCCAAGCATTCATCGATAGTAGGTGGGCAGTGGTGAGCAGATTTATTGCTTTTGGTTGTCTGTCCAAACACATAGCCAATGGGAAAGCCAAGTGAACAGATAATTAAGCTGATGGGCTAGGGAGAAAATGGGTGCAGGGTTAACTACACAAGGGTATAAAGATTGGAAAATATGGGGGAGAGTTGGTGACTGAGAACCAGAACTCAGGAAGTCGGTCAGAGAGCAGGGCAGAGCTAAATCCTAGAACTTAAATGAAGAGATATGAGTTGGAGGGCCAACTGGACAGTTATAGTTGAGTTCCAAATACTTGAGCATGAAACTTTATGGCAGAGAAATAAAGAGAAAGGCTACAACCATTGGCATGTTTTTTGCTGATTATTGCGGTTCAAATGACAGAGGGAATGAGGTCATCATCCAACTAAAGTTTTAGCAAAACCAGAAAAAGAGTGTTAAGATTCTCTACATTGTACTCTGATACATCTTTGACTTTGATTGTATCTTTTGTAGACTAAGTTCATTTAATTATTTTACGTGCAGAAACCACTGTGGAAATAAAGGAATCTGTCAGAGGAAAAGATGTTTATATCATACAGACTGGTACTAAGTAAGTATAATATAGTTACTATTATTGATATTAAGAAACTTACATTTTTTTCAATTGTACATTTTTTACTTTTTCAAATCTGATGGTCATATTCCATTGGGAATAATCTTTACTTTATGCAAATAATTTTTCTTAAATGCTGAAAGTAAAAAACTTTTTTTTGTGTGTGTATAATATTTAAGTTAGAATGATAATACTTAAACTTAAATCAAAATATTGTGCCATTACTACAGTAAAAATAATAGTTTTTTTAGTCATGGTAGCATTGTAATTATTTATAGTATGTAAAATTATCTGTATCACAGAATGGGTATTATGAGGGGCGACTTAATAAATAATCCACACTCCAGATATCAAAGTTAATAAAGATAAATGTTAAAAGGTCCATTGTTACTTTTCCTAACTCAGTGACTAAAACAGTAAAAAAATGAGATGAATTTAAACTTGTTTTTTCAGAGATACTAACAATGATATCATGGAGCTGATGATCATTGCATATGCTTGTAGAACTAGTGCAGCCAGTAATATTATTGGAGTCATTCCTTACCTACCATACTCCAAGCAGAGTAAGATGAGGAAGAGAGGTTGCATCGTTGGAAAGTTAGTTGCAACTATGTTAGGAAAAGCAGGTAAGTTTCCTCAAGGCCTTTGAAGTTGCTGGCTGGGATGAAATAGTAATTTAATCTTTAATATCTGTAAGGATGATAGCATCGAAACCAGTCTGATAACTGAAAATTTGTAAGCATCTAATACTAAAGCTTACTAACAGCTTGATTTAAGTTAAAAAATTTAAAAATTGTGCTAGGTTCCACCTTATCTTTAAAATAACACTTTCTACTGTTGAGTCTGTTTTACAGTGAATATTATGGACTTTACTATTTTTACTTTAGGTTTTTCACATGTTATAACTATGGACCTTCACCAGAAAGAAATTCAGGGATTTTTCAGCTTTCCTGTTGATAATCTCAGAGCTTCAGCTTTTTTGATAGATTACATCCAAACATCAGTAAGTAAGAATCTTAAATAACGGTAGCTATTAACAAATATTTTTTTTTCATATCGAAAAATATTTCATTGCTTATCTTCACTCAGTTTAAATTTTTTTTTTTTTGGGGGGCGGCACATATCCACAGCTCAATGACCTGGCCGCCCTGTCGGTCAGGTCACGTTCATCTACTCGTGTGTAAAATTTTTTTTTGTGGGGGGGGGGGGGAGGGGATAAAGCCATTTCTAATTGTTTATAATAGATTTTTGTTCTTCTTTGCAATTACTTTTTTTAAAATTGGTAATTTCTTAAACTTGGAGAAGATAAAGCACAGGTTCTTTCCCAAACATGATGTAGACAGTTTGATAATTTAATGTGTATTACAGACCTGGTTATTCTTGCGATCTCTTTTAAGATGTCCTTTATGATTGTATTGTACACCGAGACCTGTCACAACTAATTTTAAGAGACCCGGTTAAAAATTATATTCGTGCATTTTAAAAAAAGTACATGTTGATGTTAGTTTTAGCTCCTTTCTACATCCAGCGATGAATTGAATAAGATTGGTTTGATACAATCTATAATTATATTACATGCACACTAAGGAGGTAAGGCATTGGTGTTGACTTAGAAGCATACAAGTGTGTATGAGAAAGGGGAAGTGTCAAATACTTGTTAAGGCGATAAAATATCAACCCCTCCTTTCATAATGATGGTGATGATGGTCATATTAGTGCTTTGTGTTTTCACAAGGAACTTGTTAGATAGAGCAATTTAGCATATGGTGCATACTGTTACAAAAAGTGATGTAAATTTATATTTCAAATGTGCGTTTATGTCACGATTGAAAATAATCTCTAATTGAATGAAGAAATAAGTTCATTTGTGATACATCTGACTAGCCATGATATATAAATAACAAAACGAGGTATTTTGAAGCTTGAATTAAAGGACAGGAAAATAAGATTTGCAAATCATGCAAAGGCTCTATACCTTTCGCACAATTTCTTAGACTACAGCGTCTCTGCCAACTTGATGAGGAATTTCTAGAAAGAGCTGATGAAATGATAGATTTTTTCTGCTCCAGATCCTATCCTGAATCTACTCTTGTCTCAGCACTAGGTCGCATCAGCACTATCACACAGAAAGATGCTTTCAAAACTCGTCAAAACAACAATGAAGATCGTACCAAACTTATGCTGACCTACCACCCTCACAATTTAACTGCCAAAAATATATTCCTAAAAAATCGTAGCATACTTCTTGCTGTATGACTTGTCCCTTTACACTCCAAACTGAAAGGATTAGCCTCCCTAAAGGTACCTTTACCATTAAAGAGGGTTTCACCTGCGTCAGCCCTAATGTGATATATGCAATTGTGTGCCGGTTATGCCAATCTAGTTACATAGGTGAAACTGGGAGAAGATTGGCTGATAGTTTCAATGAACATCTCTGGGATATTGAACAATGTAAACTTTCCCCAGTCTCTTCACATTTGAACAGTGATGAACACCAATGTACATTAGATGTAATCATTTACGGCACTGATTTCCTGCACTAACACATCAGACAGGGTTAAAATGGAAAATATATTTATTCAGCTGTTTGGCACCATATCTCCATAGTGCATGGTTAAAATATTTAACCAAAAAAATCAAAATAGAGTTTTACAAGATGTCCATTGTTAAATCTCTTTGTGCATTAAAAAAAAAATTTACTTAACGTAAGCTAGTTTAGGTACCACTTGTACTCAGCTGAATTGTGCGATGTTTTAAAATGTTAAGTTTCATGATTTACATTTAAAGGTATTTTTCCTTTAACATCAAGAATAAAAAGTTGAGTTGAGATCTTCAAGACTTAACCAGGCAGCCTGGGTTTTTGGGATGAAGTGCTTTAAATTTTATAACTTTAACATTTTGATAACTATTGTGTTTCTGTTACTGTTACCTCTGAGAAACTGTGTCACTTTAGTCAAAAGAGTATGAGCATCTTTGATCTAAAATGATTTTTTTCATGGCAAATCTTTATCAAGTCCTAACCGTAACATTTTCTGCAGTTACCAGATTACAGAAATGCTGTCATTGTTGCCAGAAACCCAAACTCTGTTAAAAGGGCAACTTCTTATGCTGAACGCCTTAGACTGGGTATTGCTGTCATTCATGGAGAAGAAAGAATGGCTGAGTGTGAGGAAGATGACGGTAGGACATCTCCCCCGTTGCCGGAGGCGCAAGTCAAAGATGCTTTTGGCTTAGAACTGTTGCCACGTAAGAGAAGAGCTAAACAATTTTTATTATCTTATCACTTCTGGGACATAAGCCTAATATTAACACCGTGTGAAATTAGTTAATTAACCTATAACTGTCATAAAAGCTGTACATGGGCGGTTAAACCCCTTTCTGTGGCAAAATTGTCATAAAAAATATGAAAGATTTAATGTATATTGGTTCAGGGGAAATCACTCTATATAAAATTAGTTTACTTCCTCTTTACATTTCTATCTGCGTTTACCTGCTTTTTGTGATCAACACAGAATTTCTTTATAGGAATTATTTCATAAGTTTAAAATGAAAGCAATAATTTCAGAGATATTCCATTGCTTTAATTTCAGTAAATGAATGAAATAGCGAAACGAGGTATGTGGAAGCTTGAAATAAGATAGCTGGACAAAAAACAAGGACGTTTCTGCATAAAGCCTTCCTCAACCAACAATAGAAATGAAAATATTGTCTTTGTTATATTTTCATTTCTATTGTTGGCTGAGGAAGGCTTTATGCCGAAACGTCCTTGTTTTTTTATCCTGTTATCTTATTTCAGTCTTCCACATATCTCGTGTCGCTATTTCATTCATTTACTAAGCTTGAAAGCAGTCCTTTCATTTATATTTAATTTCAGTATTAGCTCTAACGGTGATGGCAATATTAGAGTCAGATATTGACAATTTTAGCCCTAAGCTTAGTCATATTTTTACAAATTTGCTTTGGTAAAGGGTGGAAATCGAACAGAAAAGACAAAGTTGGATCCAAAGACCTACCATAATGAGAATCAAAGACATTTATGTTTGTGTATGTTCTGGAGCATTAATTAATTAAAAGAATTGATTTTATAACTTCATTTCAAAAGGAATTTTTGAACTCATTTTATCCTTTTCCCTTGAATTTTTGTACAACAGAAATTTGAAGGTAGTGAATGAAAATAATTCACCAATATTACAATATTTTAATTTAAGAACCTATAACATAACATTTTCTGAAATAATATTGTTTCTAGTATCTAAAGAACGTGATTGCATGTTAGTTTGAAAAGTTTATGGAGTATTAGGTTGGGTTGCATTGAAAAGTTGTGGAATAAAATCTTGCCCACTCTGTTAAGGTCAAAGTCAACATGCATAATATAAAAAAAAATCCTTTTCATACCATAAGATTAAGGAGAGAATACCTAGGTTAATGCAACAAATGTTTCATATCTTATTATAATGCATTATGGAATGAGATTAAATATCTCATTCCATAATGCATTATAATAAGATATAATACATAGGTCAAAACAACAAATGTTTGATATCATATAATGCATATGCTATAATAATGGTGTGAGCTGTGAAAGGTGGACAATTAACTAAGATACTTTTATTAGAAATGTTTTGGGTGCATAAATAATCCACTTCCACACATTATTTCAAAGAATCATCAGTGAAGTGTTAATTCCACATAACTGTCCTGAACTCAGAATTGCATAATATGATAAAAATTCCATAATGAACAACTCCTTTCATTAACTAATGCATGCCTGCACAACTCAAAATGTAACACTTTATGAAAAACTTGTGTGTGCCAAAAGAAATAGGACGGGGGAACGCTATTAAAAAAAAAATAATAATAAAGATTATTTCTTTACTTCATAGGCCGCAAAGCGGATGCTGGCGGGCCGTCGCATATGGCCCGTGGGCTTTATGTTTTACACGCCTGGACTAATGTGTAGGATAACCTTTTAAGAAGGGAGTAAAATCATTAGAATGTATGTGTAGCGATATGAAGATTCACACATTGTTATTTCCACATCGAATCTTGCTATGGTGATAAAAAGTGTTCTGCTTTTTTTTGCTTTGATCTCCTTTGTACTTCTGCAAAAAACTTCCCACAGTTTGTTTTATGCAGGAAATATATATTGGAAGCCTATGCTGTCCTCCCCACCTTTCTTTGTGGTATTGAGCTTAGTTTTTATTCAATGTATTTTATTTAATTTGTATGCAATTCAACAGAGGTAGCAGCTAAGGAGAAGCCCCCATTCAATGTTGTGGGTGATGTCGGTGGAAGAATCGCAATTATTGTGGTGAGAGTTTGTATATATTTTTAAAATGCTTATTAATATTTAAAGAAAAGTAATTCACAAAGTGGTTGTATCAGATATTTAAAACTGTTTATTCAATAAATATGCTTAACCCCTTTGACTGTAAGTGATGTGTCTTTAGAACAAAATCATGTGGTCATAGCTGGTAGTACTGGTTTATGAACTATTACTTAGCTTTGGGGTGAACAGGCTAGACTTTTTTTTTTTTACTAGATCTCATAATTTGCAATTATTAAGATAATTTGAATCGGATGAATAATTTTTTTTAAGGTCCATACAAATTTTCTCTCGCCCAGAATCCTAAAAGGTGTAGGCATTGTGTCAGTGCTTTTTTATTCAGAAATAAATACTTTGTAAAGTTTTTGTCCAAAACAAAACCATTTTATTTCAGTTTTGTACTCACTATTCCTATGTAAATTGACCCTTATGACCTCAACTTTTAATTCTAGATTAGCATATTCTGAAACTTATCACTGGAAGTTCAATTCTCTCATAATACAAGTTATTAATTTTTAAAAAATTTAAGCTACAGGCAATCTTAAGATACTGAGGTCATGAAAAACTTGATTTTTGCTTTGTATGAAAATTGCTGGTAGCCAAAGGGTTCTTTAGTTGAATTCTTTCTTGTTGAGTTACTTTAAAATATGTTTTAATTTCAAATTGCATCCTTGACAGTGAGCCTAATAAGACTGTTAAGAAATCCTTATGGTTTTTATAATTGAGTTGTCCTTATTAAGAGATGGCAAAAATGTTTTATATAGAAACTTTTTAGGAACATTCCATGAAAGAATCAAATGGACAAAATATATTGTATCATGAAAAGCTAAAAGCGCTATTTCAATCTCACCAGGATGACATGATTGATGATGTCATAACATTTGTGAAGGTAGCTGAAATCCTCAAAGAAAGAGGTGCTTACAAGGTTTTAGTGGTTGCAACACATGGAATTTTATCTTCAGATGCTCCAAGACTTATTGAGGACTCTAGCATTGATGAGGTTGGTATCCTTAAGTTAAAAATTGATTAAGTTGGCCTGAAGTATGGTAGATACAATTTTTAATGCATTTTGTATTGAACCGTGTGATAAGTGAGATATAATAATTATGATTTGAAAAGCTTTTTGTCTTATTTGAAAATTGATATGTTGTGGATTGATTTAATCAAAACATTCTTGTGTTGTTTTTTTCAAGTGATTGTCTTGTTGCTTTATCATTAATTCTAATTTTTGTGCTAAATGTCTGCTCTGTATTAAGCTGTTGATGGGGAAATGGCTGCCAATTGTTAAAAATGTTTACATTGTTCTTTAATTGGTATGCAGAGGTCTGTCTTAAATATAAAGGAGAAAAACTTGAAGAGAAAATGTGTTTGCGTATTTCTGTTATCTTGATTCAAAACCACAATTTCATATTGACATCTGACAAATTGTTTTGGTTTAAATACCAGGTTGTCGTGACCAATACCATTCCCCATGAGGTGCAGAAAATGCAGTGTCACAAAATCAAAACGGTGGACATCAGTGTTCTTCTGTGTGAGGCTATCAGACGAATTCACAATAACGAGTCCATGTCATACTTGTTCAGGAATGTTGGTTTGGATGACTAAATGGTCTGCGGAGAAATCACTTTGTGGAATATGACATTTTGAGTTGAACTATTTTTAGCTGTTTTGTGAAAACCAATATGTATTATTACGTTATGAAATAATAAAATCTAATCACATATTTTAGTAATACCTATGAGATCATTCAAGTATAGTGATTATGAAATAAAGTTTACTTGATGCAAAAATAGATAAGTTTAAAAGTTTAAGTTTAAGCTTTTTATTCTCCATTGCCTTTCTTTCTCAAAGTTATTTTTCAAAACAATACTTTATTCATCTTGAAAAAAAAAACAGCCCTATATATTTTTCAAAAGTCTTTAAGGCACTTTAGGTAAATGCCAGATGTTTACATTGGAGGCATCATAGTCCCGACTCACATATAAATGGAGTTAAACTTATTGCAGTGTAGGTCATCGGTCTAATATTTTTCATTATGTATTTTATCATTCATCCTTGTCATATTCTTAAGAATAATGTACTTTTTTTTCTTTTTCTAAAAACACAAGATTCAAATAGTTGATTTACTAAAAAAAACAAACAATTATACCAAGTAGTTATTTTATGTACATTAGTCAACCATTTATGGTTGTAAGATTTTGTCTGAATTTCTATTTTGTTCTTGCTTACATAAGATCACATTCATGTTAATTTTATTGAGGTGAATGAAGATTATGCACAATAAAAGGTTGGATTGTGGGTGTTATAAAAATTATTACAGCTAAAAATAAGGAGAGTTAAGCTTTACTAAAGAAAGATCATTAACCTTAGTAAGATTAAACCTTCTATTTAAGAGTTATCTGTAACTTCCATATAATTTTGTTGTTGACATAAATTAAATGGAATATTATGGAGAGTACTATAAATAAATAAATTTTCATTGACACTTTTTTTTGGTTAATTTGGGTTGGTAAGATTTCATTGTGTTTTATTGGCTTTGTTTCTACAATGATAGATCTGGTTTGGAAAATTTAATTTTGACAGTTTAAAGCATCTGTCAACTCCTACAAATTGTTTTGTCCTTGAACCTGTAAAATTTTTTCCTTAAACTTAAATGTTAAGTTCATGGTCAAAGGTTACCAAACTTTGCAGAAGACTTATACAAATGGATTCGCTATTTTAAAGTGCATATGTAAAAATTTGCATGGGGGGGCCTTGGGACAACCTGGATTTAAAAATCAAATATGTTTGGGAACCACTGATTCACAACCTGCAGTTTGACAACATGAATTCTCATTATTATTTTATCTTGATATCAAATAGTTCTTTATTTTGAAGTATAATCTCTAAAGAATGTCTCCCTTATCTCATAAGATTTCAAACAATATTACTCTACATGTAAATGTCAGACATGTTTTGTTTGTAATTTTGTGCAATAACTTCTCAATTGTAGTTTTTTAAATTTTCTTGTGTTTACCAAGGAATGAGGTTTTGAAATATAATTTTCTAGTTGCCTTGCATTTGTACCATTAAACAATACTGATGACAGGAAAATAAAGATTAATTATTTTATTTAAACGTCTTTGGAAAACATAATTTGTGAGACTTGTGGTGAGACTTGTGACAACATCATCAAGTTCTGTACAGATGAAGACACCCATGAATTTCTCCAACTAAAAGCGTTTTGTTGGATGCCATCAGAGATGCACAAGTTGTCAGATTAGATTTGGTGTGACCTACAATTTTTCCAGTTTTTCTTTCCCAGATACAGAGAGATCCTCTGTCATTTAAAGCTGTGACAAGTCCAACTTCCTTCTGGGCATTTTCAGTCCTTAAAAAAAAAGGCAAAGGATAGCTTTAGGAGTTTTTAAAATATATTTTATGAGAAGATAATTGGTGTTTGATTATTTAGCGAATTATTTTGAAAATACAAAGCAACAATTTTATGATCACTACCAGGCAGTGTTATTTTAAAGCCTTTAAAAAATATTTTTATACCTCCCCTACCATAAAAACCTCCCCCTTGCCCCTTTCAGTAATATAATTTGGTTTGTCTCCAACCAATATTTTTTCTAGCCATTCTTTGCCAAATGTAGAAAGGAGTTAAAACTAACAACCAAAATTAAAAAAAAATAATAATATATTTTTTAAACCCCGTTTCTTAAAATTGTAGCTCTGATAGGTTTCCGCATACAATCATAAAAGACATGTTAAAATCGTACATTGTACGCCAAAACCTAAGATTCTATAGTGTGATATTACGTGTGTAATATTTTTTGAGAGCCTCCTCTTTGTCCATACCCATATTTTCCTAACCCTATCCCGTGAATAAGTAATATAAATATACAAGCCCACAAGCAAAATTGAACACCAATAATTAACTTCAAAACATCAGCTCCTTCTGTCAGTGTCATATAAAATTAAAATCTTATGTTATACAGAAAGTGAATGGCTTACAACTTTAAACCCCATAAGATAAGATTCTTTTATTGATCCAAATAAATGGAAATGTTTTATAATTGCATTGTACATTTTCAGCTTAGATATGAAACAATTTGAACACAAGACATTTGTAATACATTTTTTCACTAGCAGCCATTCAGTGAGTTCTCTTAGCCATATCAGGGACTTATTAGTTCTCATTAAGATTTGTGACTTCAGGGGGAGCACGCTGGTAAATTCGTACAGATTGGGGAACAAAAGAATTTTTATATCTTTCAGTCCTCGCCCTGATGGAAAGAATTCATCTCGAATGGGCCAATCTTAAGTATCTGTGATGAAGAGGGTGGGATGTATCATCCAAAATGTGTTTAGTTTTACAAAAACATCTTTCTTCAAATACGGTAGTTCTTCCAGTGAAGGATGTTTGGTTTGTGTTATGTTCCTAGCTTTCTTGATCAGTCGGTTTATGCGGTGTTTAATATCAGACGTTGAATTCCCACACCAGCTGGTAAAACTGAATGTGACCATGGACATGATGTATCTAGCATGGATTGGGGGTCAAAGTTGATCACAACTGCTGTAAGACTTTTTGTAGTTAACTGAAGAATGGGACTATTATGTTTTAGTGGTGTTTATGTCAGATTCTAATTTATTAAAAGCTAAAGAAAAGAAAACCCACAAATAATCAAAAATTAAAGTTAAGCCTTAATTCATCCAGGATACAGAACATCGTTTTTGATACATTATAAGTAGTATAAAAATTCAGGAAGTTCTTTTATCCTTACCGTCGCCAGGAGCTGTTGGGACTTGGAAATGCTACCACTGGAAACGCCTTGCAAGTGACTGGGTTCAAAATCACTATACCTCCACAATCTCCGTTGTCAACTCTCCAAATAGTGTCCAATATAAGAAAACCCTGAAGTAATGACAGAAGGTACACTATGGACTAAAAACGGTTTTATTTGGAAAATAGGTTTTCAGTTTTTAATTAACTAATTTCAATAGTGTTGGACTGTGATAAAGCTTTAAAGTAGATTAATCAGACACAGGCAACATTTGTAAATAAAACAATATATGTCTAATGATTTACAAATGTAGACGTTACGGCAAATGCCTTCATCAGTCAAAAAAAAAAACAAACAAAAAAAAAAAAATAAAATAAAAAAAAAAAAAAATTAAAAAAAAAATAAAAAAAAAAAACAAACACAAAAAAAAAAAAAAAAAAAAAAACAAATGTAGACGTTACGGCAAAAGCCATCAACAGTAAAAAAAAAAAACACAAAAAAAAAAAACATTAAAATAAGTATAAATTAAATTTAAATAATATATATATACATGTATCCTACCCCAAAAAAAAAAGAAAAGAAAAGGAGTGGGCGCAAACCCAGACAAAAAGCAAGTTAAGAAGAACGGAAATGAAGTGAGTGAAAGTAACATTTAAAAACCAAACAGGAAAAAGACATGGCAGCTATGTAAAACCAAATCCACAATTTTACATAGCTGCTTTAATTGGATAAAATCAATTTATGAATGTGGTAGTTCTAATTGAAGTTGAAGGTAAGTTTTATACTAGTTACAAAAATGCAACCCTTCTTTGATTCCTTTAAAGTAAGACACTGTTGGTTAAGTTTAGAGATACGGTTTAAGGGTGGATAAAAGGGTCGTGAAATGTGTTCAGCACAGATAGTTCAATAAAAACAAAGCACTTATAGATAGAAACGGAACTAATTCTTAATAGTCCTTGTTTAATTTTCTCTTGACGTGACATAGTTAAGACCTCCCCAATAGAATAAGAACTTGAGAAAATTAATTGCGATTTCTTTTGCTCATCGCATTGTTCAACGGAAATAAATCCTAATAAAAGTTACCTGATAAGCTTTAGCGGCAATCATTGCTGTTAAACATGGTACGGATGAAGGTAGGGACATTTTCTTTAAGCAGTTTCCTAGTTTGATGTTCCTAAAATTTTTAAGTAAAAAGAAAGAGTTAATGTTTTGTAAATGAAAGATTTAAATCCAAAGACCAGCTTAACTGAATCCAGGGCTCAATGAGTCTATGAACCTCTGCATGCAGTTATGAAAAATGACCACACCCCCACTTATCAAAGGAAGTAAATGGAACTGCTCTAAAGGTAAACATACCAAATACTTATATTCTGATCTGTTGATAGAGTCATGAAAGCTGATGCCAGATTTTTCACCACTACCACATTTAGCAGCTGGCTAGGCTGTCTGTCAAACTTTGACACAGATAAAATACTGTTGAGGTCATCTGAGAATATCACCTTGACAACTAAGTGTGTTGAATCTGTTGACAGTCCAACCAAAAGTTCTGTGGCAGATGCAACACACAGCTCCACTCGACTGGGTGAACTGAAAATATTTCATGATAAATAAATCGTTTTTGGGTCTATGTTTTATGAAGGTACATCATGAAACTAAGATGAATATCTCTGGCCATTGACTAATAAATATAAGCGATGACTATAAGCTCAATCTTTTTCTTATGGTGTTTTATCAATCAAACATTGACACAATGAATAGTTTTATATATAGATTAACATTGTAACTCATGGGCAATGTGTTTTATTATAAATTTCTAAATTTGGTTTGTAAGTTAAGGTTAATTTAGGTACGGTATCTAACCCTCCAGCTTAAAACAAAGAAGTTCATAATGAAGAAGATTAAGCCTTGTTTCAACAAATGTACAGTATTTGAAACCTTAATTCTTGACTTAATGGTCCTGTATGCTCTTGTGAAGAAACAATGTTAAGTGTTGGGGCAATCCATGAGATTTTGTGGGGGAGTGGTAAATAATCGACCAAAATAGTGTGATGTTATATATGGATGGCCCCTTAACAGCTGCCATCATCATAGCTGATCTCACACACTGGTTCTTCACAGGAATTTAGTAACTTTGCAAATTAAAAGGAGTTTGTCTCTTAATTTCAATTTGTTTTTATTGCAGCACACAATTTTGGTTACTTTCGGGAAACTAAATGACAGCTGTTTGAAGGATGCACAACGTTCATAAAAGTTTTTATATTTTCAGCACAAGGAAATGCAATTTTAAGAATTATAATGCACTACTGTAAAAAATAATTGATCTTAAGCAAAAAAAAGTTCTGTGATCAAGAGTCATGTTTTAGAAAACTTCAGGTACCACACCACAAAATGATAAATCCTAAATATTTTATAGTCGGAGAAAACATGAGAATTTTTACTTGATCTCGGTCTGGAACTCTGTCAATGGGATATTGAACCTTTTGGTATCTTCTGAGCTACAGATGTAGACAAAGAGACTAACAAACAGTTGCCCCTTGTCTAGACCACTTGCAATCACAGCAATACGGTCATTCACTGGTAGAAGGGTTGCCTTCATTATGTGGATTTCCTATAAAATGAAGTACCAACAATGCTATGATGATAAAAATTATAATAATACCATAATGAATTACATTAAATATTAAGAATATGGGTGGCGAATTATTTCACTACAATTTCTTTTGTTTTTATAGGAGAAAAAATGTCTTTAGTTTTAAAATATGCAAACTTTTGTACCCAGGTGCAACAATTCTGTAAAGTCTCAACTTAGCTGGTAGTGACAACAAATATTTTGTGAACCTTTTTTAAACCTTCACATTAACTTCACTTCTGTTAGTGTGTTTGTGGCAAATCTTCGAAAGGCAAAATTGAACCACTTCCCACCAACCAATCGAGATGAAATTTGACACATAGACTTGTTGCTGAAGACAACACATTCTATCAAATTTTCAGCCCTACCCCCAAAAATCAGTTTCCTGTTTCTCAAATGGAAGATGAAGGAAATATGATAAAATGATCTTTTAAGAACTATCGCCTTTGTTAAGTCGCACAAAAATGCATATAAAGGATTCATAAAAAAAAATAATTTTTTTAAGGCTTGTTATATTAAAACATAATATACATTTCTGTATCATATATTTGAAGTTAGTTACAGCAGGTTTCTCATGAGCACATGCTTGTGCTTGAACACCTATCACATTATAAACAAGCTTTCTCATAAAATCACACAATTTTAAACTTGTGGACTGCAAAAATTGACATTTCAGGTTGTGTTTTGTTCATCCTTTCTTTTGGTAGTGAGTTTGTCACCACTACAGATGTAAATTTGCATAATTTATATTTGTATTTAACACATTTGTCTTTGGTTTAGTTACAATTATTTATCATTTTGAGTTAATTAATTCAAGATGCTGCTAGTGTAAGTTTTTTTATTCTCTTATTATTGTCACCAATTTGACAAGCAAGCAGATTATAATAAAAAAAAAGATTCATTTCATTTTGGGAGCTTTTTATCACATATATATATAAAAATAATTATTATTATCAAAGTGGTGTTATATGGCGCGGTACCCCAGCCTAGGGCTAGGCTCACAGCGCTTCACATAAAATTAGCAAAAAGAAAAGAAAAAAAAGAAACATGACATTAAAAAACAGTTACGCAAAGTTATACATTTAAAAACAGCTTTTTAAAAGGATTGACCTCACCCACCCAAGTACTATTTACCCCTGTCTAGCCATGGGCGGCACCCAGCAGCATCAAGCATTGTTTATCAGTCAAAGGGGTGTGAGAATGAGTCAAATAGTTGAGTTTGAAGAGATGTGCCTTGAGGGCAGTTTTGAAGAATATAAGAATAAGCTAATGTCACAGGGTAACGCTGATTTCAATAGCACACAATAAAAATTCCCCAAAAGAGCACCAAAAAACCTGCAAATACATGTTCAATAAATCCTAATATAAATATAAAGGAGAAAAATTGTTTTTGTGTTTGTTCCGCCCACGTTTCTACATATATTGATGGATCTTCACCAAACTTGGAACACATATCTTGAACTTTACCAAAGAATCCTTTCAGGGAGGTGGAGGCCCTATTTCCATTTTTCCTTATTTGAGCTTTAAAAATAAAAGATTAGATATAGGCTATTGTATGGATCTAGACCAAACTTCATACTGTTATGTAGAGCTTGTTTACAAACTTTCCTCGTGTGTGCACTCTGGTTGACCCCACATGAGACGCTACGTTCATAGATGGGTGTGGCTTAGTCTTTTGATCTGTGGTGGTTATTTCCGACAGCAACTAAAAATAATTAATTTGTTCTCAGTGGTGTTCAGTCGAATATTCGCAATTGTATTAGAAAAGTAAAGGCCTTTCTAGACGCGTCGGTAGACCCACATAATATAAGGGATTGACAGGCACGGAGATTCAGATTCAGACAGGGATTCGGAGAGATATTATTAACTTTACGAGACAATTGTATTATTCTTTGTGTGCTCATATGTGTTTATTCGCATTCATCATTCATCTTTATTAAGTGCCATATTGTACTAGTTGTACAAGATTTTTCCCATACTCTGTAAGTTGATGAATTGTAATTATATTTCTTTTGTTTTGTAATTGTATTATTACTAAATTAAATCTTTTTAATTGTAATTGGCAACTGTTTTTGCATGTCGTATCTTTATTATTGTATTTCTCTATGGTATCGTCCTTTGTTGTGCACTGTGTGAACGAGCCATAACTTAAAACAAGTGATTAATTTCTCACAATAGAAGCCAGTGCGTAACCATACACACATACACTTGATTATCCATATTCAAATACTGAAGGGAATTGAACTCATAATATCGACGCCAATAGGGCTGAGGCCTCCAATTTAATTTTTCCTTATGTAAGTTTTATAAATAACATTCTGCTTACACAACTATATCGGGTTCTACGTGAATAACTCAATCGATTTTGATGGAACTAGACTTTTCCACCAGGATATATATTTGCATCTAAAAGCCCAAGGAAATTTTAGTTTAGTTCTAAGATTTTTATTTTGTTCTGGGAATTATCTCTGCACCGGTATCAATTTTTATAAGTTTTTAGATTATTCTAAAAGGTTTGACTTTTCTATAACAGTTGAGGTTTATATAAATGTTCTTTTTATAACTTTCAATAATTTTCCTCAAATGTTAAGTTGAAGTTTTAAGATTGCAGTATTCGCTTCCACAATTATTGATGGATTTTGGTCAAAGTTGGCCCCAATCTTAGGGATACATTTAAGTGTACTACAAGGAATGAGATCCCACCAGGGATTGGGATTCCATTAGAGAACATGATCCCACTGATAACGGGATTCTAATGGGGATAGGTTCCCATTGAGGAATTGGATGGCACTAGGCATGTGATTCCTATCAGATCCTAATTTAGTTTTAGTGATAATACGCTGGGTATATTGACTAGTTAAGCAACAAAATTTCTAAGAATAAAAACTTTTCAAAGCATCAAACTAAAGACTAAATAAATATTGTCTTTGATAGGTCAAGACCTAAAAAATGTCATAACCTTTTTCAGGAAGCTGTAACATAATTAGAAGACTTACTGGGGCTAATCGCCAATCTAGTTCAGTAGTCCAACCAAAGTGGTCATCTTCTGTCCACAAAGTAAGAGAAGTTGCTTGTACACTGACAATAAACTGTGTACTGGTTCCAGATTCCAATTTCAACTGCCCACACAAAACACTTACGACAGCATCCTGAGAACAGGACTGCAATTGAAGAATCGATATCAAAATAGTTAATTAATAGCCTGAACTGAGCTTGACAACATATCTTTAGCTTAAGGCAATTAGCTGTAGAACAAGTTACAAAAAAATCATTGACATTCTAATTCTCATAGGAAATAATGTCTAAAAATTAAAATTTCAATTTTGGGTTTTTTAATTCTGCAGAAATTAATCAACTGTTATGATCTGCTTTTTGATCCCTGTATAAAACACAAATAGGCTTTAAGCCTAATTTTCCTACCAATTCAATGCAGATTTAACACTTAACAACATATATTTAAATGTTTAAATCTTATCCATAATTCTGTAAGTCTCCTTACCTGAAAGCAGCCTGAGAACTTGAGAGTTCTCTCCTCTTTGAATGGGTTGTCATTTGTTTGAGATCTTGAAATTCTTCTAGTAGGCGTAAATACTACTGGGATATGTGAATTTTGAGCACTTTTGTATTCCAGCACTTGAAGCGGTGTGGTTGGAGTCCTTGGCAGTTTCTTCCAAGGCTCAACTAAAAGCATTGAACAGTCCATAGATGACCCTAAATGATTTGTAGAGCTCTCAACTAAAGTGTTCACTGGAATTTGACCAGGAGATAAATAGCTGTCTTCAAATTGTAAAATATTTGACAAATTAGCAGACAAATCTGGACTCCTGACATCACAGCCATTTATAATCTTGTTAATTTTTGGACAGCTTTTCTCAAGCAGGGGACTGAAGATCTTAGGCTCTAAAGTATTTGGTGTTTCATCGTCAACTGATTTAAGACATCTCGGCTTTGGACTACATATTTCTAATGTTTTCTCTGATCTATCAAGGCCTTTGTTACATTCAAATAACATTTTGGAATTCTTCAGGTAAGATGACATGTTAAGTCGCGAAGCAAAAGATTTAGGCCTAGTTGTCTTAGGTGTTGATGTCAATGAAAATGAATTCCTTTTCACCACTGAATGTACAACTGGACTTGGTGTTCCAATACTAGGTGTGGCTTGGTCATTTCGTATGACTATGTCAGGCTGTGGACTTGTACAAACTACTGATGGGCTGCAAGGTACAACAGAACAACTTAATGGTAAATTATCCTGACATACTGATAGACTTAGATGTACATCCTCAAGCAGCTCATTACTAGCAACAGTATCATTTGAGTTTGCAGATTTAGAATTAATCTGCTCTGTATTCTTGCATTGACCATTGTGTAGACTACTTTGTCCATCACACGACAAACTAAGATTTGGACTTGACACACTGCCAGCAATAATTACAGGATTAGTTTGACTAACACTTGTACAGATCATCCCTGTTTTATTTTGGTGTGAAGAGGTTTCACTTTCAAGAGCCTTCATCATATCAACAGCATTAGTTGTTATCTTAGTGTCCGATAAAACAACTAACTTTTGTTCAAACAGCTTTCTGCCAACATTCAGAGAATTTTGACTTCTCTCTGGGGGTGAAGTGCAACAATCTGTCTCCAACTGTGACCCCACACAAACATGCGTAGTTATAGTCTTACCTGCCGTCGTTTGACTGTCAGATTGGCAATCTTTGTCCTCAGGTGGGGCTGCTAGATTGCGCCCTTGTTTAATGCTCTGCTGCTTTAAGGACAAATAGTCAAAGTTTTCTTGTGCAGAAGTCAGTATTTCAACTTGCTGTTCACTATTGACATTCTCAGACACATTCAATGGAGACAGAATTAGCTCTTTTAATGTATTCTCTTCATTGCAGCATCTGGATGGTACATGAGCCTCTGGCTTAAGACTTGTAACTTCCACTGATTGTCCTGAATTACTCTGTGTGAAAACAAGCTCACTACCATCAAGCTCACTACCACCAAGCTCACCAGAAAAGTGTTCTTGTAAAGGTTTTGGTCCAGTCAAAATGGTTTCTTTGATTTTCCTCAACTCGGTAAATGACACTGGCAGTTGAAATTCTGAAACCCATTTGGGTTTCACGGCTTCCTCAATTAGGAATTGAAATACAGACAATACTGCAGCAGCTTTCTTTTGTTGAGCAAGGGATCTCTTGTTAAATGTAACACCACGGGATGACACAATTATGTCTTCTCGCTGTGAGCTTTTTGAACTAAGTACAGAAGAATTTGAAGAACCGATGGAGCCTTCGGAATTATGTGATAAGATTCTTGCAGAACGCCTGTTAACACATCTGCCCAGTTTAACTGCTTTTGTAAAAGACTGGCCAATCAGCAAACCTGGGAGCTCAGTTTGTGTAAATGTAAGTGTGTCCAACTCAGTGTATTTCAAAAAAGGGCCTTGACTTTCAGATGTTTCTGTTTCAGGAATAATGTGGCCAAGTTCCTGGGTGGACTCTGATTTGATGGATCCAGAATCATGTTCTAAATGAACTTGTTTAAAAATCAACTCATAATTAGAACTAACAGGTTTAGAATCTTGCTGAGAAATAATATAATTTGTTTCTATCTTAGAATTTTTTGCCAAACTTAATTTTTCTACTCCCTTTCGCCGAGGTTTAGCACACACCTCATTGGTAGCATTGTTTTCATGGAAATACGTTTTCTCTGGGTCTGTCTTTGAATCCTGAATTGGAGTTACTCCCAAAATATTTAAAAATTCAGAATCACTGATTGAACACAATGGGGTATTTGAAGTCATTTCTCCTTTCAAGTTGGGTGACATTAAATTAATGCTTTCAAGCGTTGGTGCGGTTGGAAGAATATCCAAAGTACTCATTTTGTTAGGAGCATTTTTTCTGTAAGCCGATGAGGCAAGCGAATATGCTACCCCTCGGCTGACCTGAGATGCCATGATAATCTCATCATCGCTTTCACTGCTATTTATCATCTTCCTCTTCTTCACAGTTGGTTTCATATAAGAATTTCTTCCTGTAGAATGTTCTGTTTGATTAACTGTGATCAGCTTAGTTTTATCTTGATTCAGGATGCTAGATTGTGATAATAAAGTGTTCAAGTGTTCCGATGTATCTTTCATAGATTGCTTTTCATTTACTGATGTTGATAGTTTCTGAATATCCTGGTCAAGAACTTCCTCAGTATTTGATAAAAAATGAAAGCTTTCTTTCTGTCGGCTGGATTTCTCAACTTTTCCCTGTAACTGCTCTTCAGGTTTGACAGTCTGCTCTACATCATTGAAAATTGTTTCAACCTGCTTTCTATCTGCCTGTGTCATTATCCTGACTTCATCTACATGTAACAATGGGTTCCCTTTATTAACATGTCTATGCAGGGCATTGGCATCACCTTTAGTGACTGTAACCCAGTTATCATTCAGCAATCTTATTGGTTCTTTCTTCGCTTCTGTGCTGTGAATATTTTGTTTTGAAACATTCAAAGTTGCTGTCTCATCCCTTGCCTCTATCAAAGATGGTTCCAGTATTTTCTCCCTAAAACCTTTAGAAGTCTCCTTTTTTGTTTTGCCCACTGTGCTGAGAACTTGATCATCTAACACACTTTTGGGAGAACAGTCTCTAGAAGACACAGTGGCATTATGTGCTGTAAAAGGTTTAAGACTATCATGACAGTTGCCTTCATTAGCTGATACCTTTGTACTTGTTAAGTCACTGACAGAGATTGAAGCCGTCACGGCATTACATTGAGACGTCTGATTATAACATGTTTGCGGCGGTTCACGACTTTGCTGTTCTATTTCTTCATGTTCTTTTATTTTTTGCCTGACATGGGCCTTGACTTGAGCTGCATGTTTACATTTCTGTCAGTGAAAATCAAATAAAATCATTGTGCTATTATTTTATTGTGCTAAAGGTAGTCAATCTGGATAGAATTTAAAATCGTAAGCCTTAAAATTAAAATTCAGTTTCAGTCAATGACGGAAAATAAAAACTACTAAAAAGCAATCTGGTTATTTTTTATTTTTCAATAACTTTTGAATTAATGGTTCTAGCTGCTTGAAAAAAAATTGGGCTTTAAATATGTAAACTTTTGAGCAAGTACACCAAGTTTGGAACTTCTAGGATTATTAGTTTAGTAGTTATGGTTTCACAAAAATGGACGATTTGACAAAATGAAATGTTATGTAGTACACTTTTCCCGTGCTTGAACTTTCTTTCACCCCACATTAGATCCCTAGCAGACGGTAGGGTTTGTTGTGGGCGTGGCCTATTCGTTTGATGTATCTTGTTTACTTCCGGCTTCCAATTAAACATGGTTAGTAGGTCTACTAGTATCTTGTCGAAGGTTCTCAATTGAATTAAAAAAGTAAGGGCGTTTCTAGACGCGTCGGTAGACCCACATATATAAGGGATTGACAGGCGCAGAAAGGGACGGAGATTCCGATAGATATTTGTAACTTTATGAGACGTGTATTTGTAAGAACAGGAGTGCAATTTCCTAAGCTCTTTACTATAAGTAGTGATGGGACGATACCAAAATTTTTAACGATTCCGATTCTACCCAATTATCCCGATTCCCAATACGATTCCGATTCCTGGCCATTATTACATATATGTATTACTGTGCCCAGGTATTAACATATTAATTAATATAAAAGTTGAGAATTGATTAGAAAAGTTTATTAACTTGCTATTGAAGCTTTACAATATGCTATTCGGAACAAAATAAAAACTATTACAGACCTGTTTACCCTCAAACTCTTAAAATCGTACAATATCATCACATAATCGTTCAATACATTCTCTTTATAGAGGAAAAAAACGTGCAGTATATATAATGTATAGGCCTACACCTCAAAAATCGTACATTGTACGCCAAAATTGTAAGAGTAAACAGGTCTGCTATTATAACATGAAACAAATTTTGCGCTGTCAACGGATTACGGCAGTTAATCAGTTAAGACTCGTTTTGGTATCGGAATTGGGTCTGAATTATTCAGCTCCAATACCGATTCCCGATGCTTTGGAAAAATCCTGATATTCCGATAAGATTCCAATTATTTATTTAGGCATTTTTATATAGCGCTTATCATAAAGCTCTAAGCGCTTTACAATTATTAAAACATGTAAACTAAGTAAATACAAATGAGACACTAGGATAGTAACTACTATTCTATAGAACAATGAAAATTGCTATAAAACGAGGACACTTTGACACTTCAGGATCAACCCGAAACAGAAAATGAGGTAAGGCAAGGAGGGTGCATCACAGGTCATAGGCGGACCTAAACAGATGAGTTTTAAGGGACTTTTTGAAAATGGACGAGGTTTCACTATGACGTATATGGAAGGGGTGCTGGTTCCAGAACGTGGGCCCATGGAAGCAGAAGGAGCGTTCACCGATGGTCTTAGTTTTAGTTCTTGGGATTGAGAGGGTTCTACTGTCAATGGAAGAACGTAGTTGTCTTGTGGGGATGTAAGGAAGCAACAGTTCAGAGAGATAGACAGGAAAGTGAGGGTCAGTGAACGAGTTGAAGCAAAGATTGGCAGACTTGTATTTGATGCGAGAGGATATTGGAAGCCAGTGGAGTTGCCGCATGTGTGGTTGAATGTGGTCATGTTTCTTTGATTTAAAAATGAGTCTGCATGCTGAGTTCTGTGCCTTCTGAAGTTTTTCTATGTGGTGTTGAGGAATGCCTGCGAGAAGAGTGTTACAGTAGTCAAATTTTGAAAGAATGAGTGAAGAGACGAGAGTTTTTGTGGCATCAAAGGAGAGGAGGTGTCTAATGGTGCTGATTTTTCTAATTTCGTTATATGCTGATCTGCATATATTCGTGACATGTTTGTCCATGGAGAGGGTGTCCGTAAGCGTGACTCCAAGGTTTCTGGCAGAGGGAGAGAGTGTGATGTCAGAGTTGCCAATAGATATAGAAGAAGGAGCGAATGGAGGGAGAGGTTTGTTTTGAGAGTGGATGAGAAGGATTTCCGTTTTATCATCATTTAGCTTCAGTTTGTTGCAAGTCATCCAACGCTTTACATCGTCCACGCACTCCTGTATGCAAAGGATTGTGGCATCAAGTTGATCAGGAAAGCAAGAGTCACTGATTTGAGTGTCATCAGCAAAGGATTGACTGGAAAATGAGTGGTGGCTAATGAGAGATGATAGAGGTTTAGTGTAGAGGATGAAAAGGACCGGCCCAATTAATAGTCCCATCACTAACTATAAGATAGGTAAATATGTTACCTCAAGCTTCTTCTTCTTTCTTGCATAATCCTGCTTGAGTGCCACCAACTTTTTCAGCTTCTATGGAGCAGTTATGGAAACAATAATTTATAAATAGCTCATTAGCATGTTTCTCATTCAACTTGTAATTACTAATATTTTGCTCAATCTTTATTTTTGATCATTCAAATTGAATCATTGTCATTTCCTTTAAAATGGCTGACATATTACCAACCGATCTGTAGTATAATGGTTCTTACTTATTTGAACTTTAGGGCAAATAAAAAATTCAAGTATTATGGAAAAGGCCTTTCTACTTCTATTTTAATTTCACTTCTTTAGTACTTACTTCTTCTTTGCTATTCTCCATGATGATTTTAACACATGTGTTTGTAACTTATTCACTTCAGAATCTAAAATCTGGGACAAAGGTCCAGAGTAGTAATAAGGCATTCTGAAAATAAATTACATACAAAAAATATATCATGGGTGAATTAAAAAATTTGTTAAAGTTTAATATTGCATGGAGATGTTAGCTTAACACTGATATTTTATAAAAAAATGATGACTGCACAGTCACCATAGTAAAGTCAACAAAGTGCTTTGCCTATTCAAGTTTACAAACCTACTTTGAGGAGCTTTCCTTTATGAATTATTCAAAGATTGATATAGCAATGGCATTAATTCATAAAGAGAAAAACTAACTTCTGCTACATTTTATATTTATGGCAATATTAATATGCACTTCCCTTGTATTAATACTTGAACCATTATTAAAAAGAAGTTAGATGAGATAATAATAAATTTAAAAAAGGTAGAAAAAGATCTTACCTGTAACATTCTAGTAAAATAAATTAATCTGGCTCAGAGAGTCCAATATTTTTTATACGGCTGAGGATTGAGAGTCAATTTAATTTCTTATTTACATTTAAAAATGTTACTTCTTAAGGGTTCCCTAATTAAATTAAACAAGAGCATTACTGGGTACAGTTTGTTTACACCCTGTCAGGCATGACGCTCGTTGCATGAGTTTTTTTTTTGCAGCCACTCAGTAATATTAATATAAAACATGTTGAGTAGGAGTAGGGCCGGTTGTGAAAAGGAAGCAGGACACACCAGAAGCAAAATATATTTAAGAGATAATAAAATAAATTTCCTATGGTTTATAAGAATATAATTGTTTGTCTTGTTTTATATATAAATATAAACTGTAATTGTAATTGAATTATCTGAATATTTGGATTTTACAGTAACTACAATTGGATTATACAGTAACTACAAACATTTATTTCACCATCATTCATACCCTGACATTTATCCCATATTATGGACTGTTTGTTGACCTAGTTCTTTGTTCACCACAAGCCTTGGTATTCAACCCTCCCTCACTCCCCCCTTTAATTCTGCAATGTGGCTATTCGCACCCGGATCCAGAAGGGAGAGGTTGGGATTTAAAAACTATTTAAAATATTATTGTTGGGTTTGTAAGACAAAATGAGGCGTCAAATGAAAGATAATTGAATGGACTACATGTTTGTAAACTTACTTCTTCAGTTTAACTAAAATAAACTACCACAAATGACATCCAAATAGCATTTAGTCAAAATGGCCTCGGACGCGCAGCACCACCATTCGCACCCGGGTCCCATAATACCAATGCTATTTGGTCTTCGTGGTATTTGCAAAAAAGTATTATAAGGTAAAAATTATACAGTTTTATGGAACAAAAGTAATCAAACATCAACCAGCTTTAGTAGTTTTTGAGTGACTGGGTGGGCGAATGGTCTAAACTGAGCAAACCTCAAGTTGGTGGTCTGGAGCTCAATTCCAGCCAAAAGCCAGTCAAGCAAAAACATCACCCCGGATGGATGAGACTCGTTAACCTTGGTGGGCAACTCCTCTAAGAGAAGGAAACTATAAATTAAAACCCGGAGTTGGAGTCCCGTAAGGCGCATACAATGACAATTCCTGCAACCATACCCATCCCTGGTCGTCCTGACGTAGGACATAGAAGCCAGAATGATCAATTTATTGATTGTGGGCCCTCAAAATAAAGAAGAAAGAAGAGAGTCTTGCCACTGGATATTGTGGGCCCGGACGAGAATGAGGTTGACGACGCGCCACTCTTCCTCACTTTAAACAAAAGTCACCCGCGCAAGTCATCAGTCACTGTACGACTCGATGGTCCTCGTCGATCTTCGACAGACGAACAATATAGGCCTATATTAATAATAATAGTTTGTATGTCCTTTTTTACTATTATGAGTCTGGTACTGATAAGTCATCATAAGTTACTATGACTATGATTATGAATGTATTGTATGGGTAGTGTTGACTGCACCACCGCATTCATTTTGTGACCATATTTTGTATTTGCATTCGTTTTAAAAAAATGTGCATTTTGTTCAGCAAAATAATGGGATTATCTATAGTAATTAACAGAGTGCAGAGTAAGAGTTCTACTCACTTAAAAACTCAATGATTATATCAACCGATGAACGTTTGTTATTCACTCAGTTTCATTGATTATCCAGGTGGAGTATCATTTAATTATGACTATGACTATGTCAAATGTCATGTCTAAAACTTTGCGCAGGCTGCAAAATTGATGGTAGTAATGGTAGCGACTTAATTGTAGGCTATAGTCATTATGGACCACTAACACTATTACTATAGCTGCTATAACTATAGTTCAGAAATGTTATGTGTGAGCACACAGAAGTAGAAGAACAGTTATTGACTACCGGCTACCCAGCCTATAGACTAGATACTTCGACGAAACAAGGGAGACTACTATTTTTTTTGTATCGGAAATGGGCGTCGGCGCCGAAAAATCCTAGTTTTTAATTTTCCGATGTGTGTGTCTATTTATTATTAAATTAGTTCTTTCCACATATATTTGAGTTCCGTTTCCGGCCTTATAATTTGGAAGACATCTTGGCCTACATTTCTAGCCAGCTATTTTGCTTTTTTCAATCGACCTTTATTTTGAAAATCTTTGGTATATATAAGGCATCTTCGCATACAAAATTTTTTGTGAAATAATAAGATAAGGTCCTTTTTGATTAAATCTGTATGAGCATTATATATTGATCTATATCTGTGCCAAGTTTCATTGATGTAGTTCGTGTCTCACGTTTGTTACACTTGTCACAGTGACCCATATCACCATAAGGTGGCTCAGCCTAATTTCGACATGGTGTGGGCCACGCCCCCTTTTTAATGGCGGAAGTTGCTGATACTTAGGAAATATTTAATTATTACCACTATATACATCAAAATATTTTATATTTTGTGTTTCAGAATGCATTTTGAAGACATTTAAACTGGAAATGTTTTAATTTGAGCTTTAAAAACCCTGCAGAGTCCATATTATAAATGATCAGAATTTTCCCTGTGCAACACGTTGTCATTGGCAACCATTCACAGCCACTTGCATAACGGCTACGTCGTAGTACTATCTCAGAGTTTCATTCATAAGAGTTTGCCGTGTGCAAAAGCTATTAAACCATTGGTCAGGGAAAGCTTTTATTAATTATTCATGTGCCAAAGTTGAAAGTTTAAAATAAGTCGACCCTAAACAGTATTTTAGTGATAGGGAATGTGTTGCCTTATATAAACTATATAGTCATTGCGCATGACGCGATCAGTGGAATGAGGTCACAGAATGTGGAGATGCAGTCCATGTTAAAAAATGACAAACCAAGTCGTACTTTAAGAATTCATAACTTTAAAACTACAACAGCTAAAAATATGATTTTGGTGTTATAATTCTGTTTAAAATTAGCTCTATTCAACTGTGCCATTGGTTTATTTTTAAAAAATGTTTACATTTTTGAACTATAGACGCCATAGTAGACTATGACAGAGAGGAGAACACCACAGAAAAACAGAGAGGAGAACATGACACTGTCTCAGGTTGATGTTTTCATTTCAATACTAATTATGCACAACAAATTTCAGACTTTTTTAATTAAAAAAAAAAACAGTGCCGAGACGACGAGATGGCCTATGCCGTTTAAAACGGCGTTTTTAAGCCAATGGCGGGAATGGCGGGAAATATCCCGGTCCCAGTCCACAACTTGATTTATCACTTAATTATTGAAATTATTCCCTTGTCTTAACTTATATCTTATCCAAATTGTGGTCATGATTACCTGATCGCCAATAGTAGTACCCCGCCCTAACCCATTTATTTTTTTAAAGATATAAAAGACATAATTTGTCAACACTAACTTGTATGTACATTTTACCAAGCATTTAGTAGCAGAAGACTAACACCGGAAGTAAACAATGGGAAAAATGTACTTTAGTACTTTTACAAATAATAATTATTTCATTTTTGCAACACTTGAATAGGGTAAAGCAATATGAATTTATTAAATCAATATTTCAAAGACGATTTGAAATAATTCTTAAAATAAGTGTTGTTTATTTGCGACTTTTAACAAAATCTTAAAAGTATTTAGCCTTTGAGAGGCTATTCGTTATATTTGTTTAAATGTTTAGTTAAATATAAGTTAAGGGTAAGGATAAGTTATTCATAAGGTGATGATGTTCAAAGTAGCTACATTGAAACCTGTGAACGACTAACCTTGAAATTGCGATTTCCTTGGCTTAAATTCAGTTTCTACTTCAACATAAACATTTAGGCTTATTTTCTTTGCATTTTGTCGAATGTGCCACTCTTCACACAAAAATAATATATTATGTTGTTCGGCAGTCGCGAGTCGACCATGACCACTTTAATCATCAGATTTGTCCTAGTTCTGTCTGTGGGTGCGCAGATTGCTAATGAGGCCGATTCTGGGACGAAATTTTCTTGTGCAGTAGGTGCATGGGAATGATGGGGCATCTCCGGGAGCAGAGTCAGACCCGGCCTTCCTGACATGTCTCTTGCGCTCTGCATGTTGCATGGAGCTCCTGTGTAAAGTGGAACGCCATGATGTTCGATTCTTTGCTTTTTCCTACAACGTGTCAGGGTTTAAGACGAACGCTTTCAGTGGAGCTTTTATGTTGTCTTTAAAACGTTTCTTCTGCCCGTCAGCAGACAGCTTTCCTTGTTTGAGCTCGCCATAGAAAATACGGTTTAACACACGGTCCCGCTCAGCGAAGCTGGGACTTCATTAAGATGGTAAAAATGCTGGGGAGACCTGCTTGGGGAGACCTGCCCGTGTGAGCACTTCAGTGTCTGGGACTCTGTCCTGCCAATTGATGTTGAGGATTTTTCTGAGTATTCTTGTAAGAAAGTGGTTAAGCATTCTTGCATGGCATTGGTATAGCCTCTCGTGGGAGATGCTGATCTTCTATCGAGCGCCTCCCCAGCCGGCGGATAGGGGAAAGCCCGCCAGATATGGAGGGTACCGGGGAAATAAAATACCCGGGGCGGACCAAAATCAGCCCTACTGCCTTGTAGGAAGTGGAGGGATCCACAAAGGCTAGGGACCTAACCCGAACAAAGGCAGCTACCCATTGAGCTGTGAGGGGCAACCCCCCAAGTGGTTGTGCGCAAGGCCAACAACCCTGCCATGTAAAAAA